CAACTGATAGTCAGATCTTGAATTCAAAAACAATCCCAGACCAGGATCCTTTAAGAGGTATTTGAGGCAATAATAAGCAACATCGAGGTGAGGCTAGCGAGGTTATTGCATGAACTGGTTAAGGTGATGCACAGCAAAGAAGAGATCCGGTCGAGTATGGGTGAAGAAATTTATTTTTCCCAATAATTGACAATAAAAGTTAGGATCTTGAAGCACAATTCCTTCTTTTGAACGAAGTTTTTGAGTGGGATCCAAAGGGGAAGAGGTTGATCTCATTTGCATGCAGTCAAATTCAGACAAAAGATCGAAGGTATCGTTTTTGAGTTAAAATCATTCCTTGCTTTTCTTTGATGATTTCAAAACCCAAAAAATAATGCGTTTCTCCTAGATCTTTGATTTTGAATTCAAAATCAAGAAAACCCTTAAGTTCTGTCTGCTCATTTGAGTCATTGCATGTGATTAGAATGTCATCAACGTAGACAGCAACTATAATAGTCTTTCCTGTTGATTTCTTAATAAATAAAGAATAGTCATTTAGAGAATGTGAATACCCTTTAAAATTGAGGGATGCGGTGAGCCTTGCATACCATTGTCTTGAGGCTTGTCGCAACCCATGTAGCAACTTTTTCAAAAGGCAAACATGATTGGGTGAAGGTGGTGATGTTCCTGTTGGGACTTTCATGTATACTTCTTCCTGCATATCTCCATGCAGGAATACATTGTTCATATCCAATTATGAAACTTTCCATCCTTTCTTTACTGCAACAGCAAGTAGGCATTTGATTATTGTCATTTTGACAACTGGACTAAAGGTCTTAGTGAAATCTATACCCTCTCTTTGTGTGTCTCCCCTAATAACCAAAAGAGCCTTGAACCTTTCTAGTAAACCATCTGATTTATACTTTACTTTATACACCCACTTGCAGGGAAGAGCTTTCTTCCCAGTATGTAAAGGGACTATTTCCCAAGTCTTGTTCAAATTAAGAGCTTCTAGTTCCTTGGCCATTGCTTCTTGCCATCCTGGATGCAATCCTGAGAATAAGAGATAGGTTCTGTGAGGTAAGAAGTGGAGTTAATGAGAGATTGGTTGGCAATTGATAGATCTGTAAAGGGAAAATATTAGGTTGAATGGGCTGAATGAAACAATAGTTGGTTAAATCAGCTAGAAACACTAAAGTACAAACATAGTCTTGTAACTATGGTGGTCTGGTGTGTGTTCTGGTAGATTTCCTGACTTATGGTAGAGTCATGGGTAAAGGAGAATGGGTAGTAGATCTTGAGTAGGGACTAGGTGATGACTGAGGTGTGTTTTGGTTGTTGGATATGGATGGTGATTGGGAATTTTCCATAGATGTCTCAGGAATCTGCTGAGTATGATCTAAAAGAGGATCATATTCTATGGTTAATGGAAAAAGGAAGATGGAACCTGGAGTTAAGTTGGTAAAGGCAAAAGGGTACTGATTTTCGAAAAACTGAACATCCCTGGACACTATCACTCTTTTTATATTCAAATCCACAACTTTGTACCCTTTTTCCCCAAAGGGTATCCTTAAAATACATAAGGCTTAGCCCTGAGATCAAATTTTCCTCTCCCAACAGACAAAGTAGACACATAGCAAAAACAACCAAAATATTTAAATGAATCATAGGATGGTTGTTGTTTGAATAACACAAAATAAGGTGAGTTTCCTTTGAGTGCCTTAGAACGTAGCCTATTGATCAGATAAGTGACAGTCAATACACACTCTCCCCAATAGTATAGAGGAAGCTTAGATTGAAATAGCAAGGCTCTTGCAATTTTCAAAAGATGTTTATGCTTACTCTCAACCACCCCATTTTGTTGAGTTGTCCCCACACACGATGTTTGGTGCAGTATTCCTTGTGAAGCAAGGAAAGATGCTTCTTGAGAACCTTTGCCAAGTTCAAATGCATTATTTGTTCTCAACTTTTGCACCTTCATTCCAAATTGTCTCTCCACCATTGTAAAGAAATTTTTTAGAAGTCCAAAAGCATTGTTTTTGGTACTCATAAGAAAAGTCTAAGCTCCTCTACTGAAATCATCCACATTAGTTAAGAAATACTTGAAACCATTATAAGTAGTTACTTTGTAGGATCCCCAAACATCAACATGGATTAACTCAAAAGGCCTTTTCGTTTTAATTTGACTCAGAGTAAAGGGAATCCTGGTTTGCCTAGTCTTAGGACAGATATCATAGAAACATTCAGATTTAAAGGGCAAAGAGATAAAACTGAGATGTATCATTGAAGAAAAAAGAAAATGCCCCAATCTAACATGTCAAAGGCTTACATCTGAAAGTATATTTGCTAAGAAAGGAAAAGAAACTGATAAATCACTAAAGACATTTTGATTTGAAGAAAAAGTTGGCTCTATTTCTGTTCTACTCTTAATTTGACTTGGCTCCAAGAGATAAAGACCTTCCCTAGCTTCACCAAAAACTTGTGTCCTCTTCACTAAAGGGGCTTGCAGGAAACAGTAGGTAGAAGTGAGAAAGAGAATTGACAGAAATTGCACACAGAATCTGTTAGCAGATAACAAGTTGTATCTAAAGCTAGGGGCATGTAACACATTTTTCAGGATGTAATCAGGTAGGATAGCAATCCTTCATATATGAGTGGCTATGACTTTGAATGAATTAGGTAGGTTTATATTCAAGGAAACTGGTAAAGCTGTTAGAGAAATAAAGGCATTTGAGTCAAAATAAATGTGTTCAAAAGCACCAGAATCAATATTCCATGTACTAGAGTTAAAAACTGAAAAACAAGTTCCTGAATATCTTGCAATAGTACCAGCAACAGCGTTGGCATTGATTTCTGCTCCTGAACTTGCTGTGTCTCCAATTTTGACTTGTTTGATTAGTTATATAAGCTGAGAAAATTGATCTTGTGATAGATGCTTATTGATTATGTCATTCTGATTGATATTGTTTTGTTCTGTTTGATCCACTTGAAATGCTCCATTTCCCCTGATTTGCATCTGATTCCCCTTTGTGACTTCAAAGTCTTCTGGGAAACTAATTATTCTGTAGCAGTCATTCACAGTGTGTCCAATCTTCTTACAATGGGTGCAAGAAACATTAGGATTAAACTTGCTCTTCTTTTCTTTGAAAACTGAATTCCTTTAAACAGAGCTATTGGTTCTCTTTTGTATGTTGTTTCTAAGTTTTGGATATTGTGTGCTTCCCTTTTGAGCCTGTTTTCCTCCTCTTTATGCAAAATTACTTTGATTTGTGACCATAAAGGCTGAAGAATCAGGACAAATTAGAGTTTGGCAAAGATCTCTCTCTGGCTTTCATCTTGTAGCACAAGGGAGTAAGCATGGTTTATGTTTCGTAGAGGATTCATCATGAGGATGTTTACTCTTGCTTGTCCATAACTGTCATTCAAACTCATAAGGAATTGAATGAGTCTCTCATCTTCTAGTGACTTTTCTAGCCTTTGTTTCCCTTCACATACACATAAACAACTGCATTTCACATCACAATTTAGTGAATCCAACTCATCCCATAATCGCTTGAGTTTTGTGAAATAGCTTGCTATGTCATTTTTCCCTTGGATTAGTCCTAATAGTTCCTTTCTTAGGTGATAGAGCTTAGCTCCTTTCGACTAACCAAATCTATGTTCCAATCTGGTCCATAGATCTTTAGTAGATTTTAAGTAGATGACATTATCTCCTATATCTTTGGATAGTGTGTTGAGTAGCCAAGATGTGACCATGTCATTGCATCTACTCTAGGGCTAAAAGTCCCTTGAATCAGCAGCTGGAGCAGGGGCAAGAACCATTAATGAAGCCTATTTTATTTTTGGTTGACAGGGCTATGAGCACTGACCTTCTCCATCCTTGAAATCCTCTGCCATTAAAGGTAGAATTGACAAGCGACACTCCTGGGGCATCTGAGGAATGAAGGAAGTAAGCATGATTTGAATCGATGGTGGATACTGGAGCAGTGGTGATTTGGGCGATGGTTGCTTCAGTGTAATCAGCCATGATTCAAGAGTTGAGCAAAGAAGGAGATAATGAATCGAGCTTCTAATGCTCTGATACCATGAAAGGATAATATGAAGAAGGTAGTAGAAAATTTTATGTGTATTTCATTCAATTGTTGTACATCTATTTATACAGATAAAAGGGATAAAATTTGTTATGCTACTGTACAGGTGTATTATTTCTATTTGCTTATGCCTAACTAATTGTACTACTATGCAAAAACTATGAGGATATAATTCTTTCTGTACAGTCACATGCTCATATCCACAAAATAGAATCCTAAGTCTACAGTTGTATTGAATCAACGGTCTTGATTAAAAGACTCCATATCAGATGTGTGCTTGTGATTAAATAACTTGCTCTGAATTGGACGGCTGAGATTAATTGAATTGTGATGGAATAAAAGACTTTGGTTGTTCCGACCAAAGTCATCCTCATTTGAACTAAACCCTAAATCATTTCTCTCATCTGAATTTCTTAACTCATTTTCTTCTTCATCTAAAATTGCCATGGTGGATGCTGAATTAGATGTTGAATAATTAGCTCCTCCAACAAGGATTTCGATAATAGTTGTGTTTTAATGAGAATCTCCCTTGTTATGAACATAAAGTGTTTGATCTCAGCAACTGTCACTAACTAAATTTACCATCCAGTAGAGATCTTCTTTTAGTAACATAAGCTATTAGGATTGGTCACTATTCATGCCTACA